CCAGTGCACAGGAAAGCAGACTCCTGAGCCTCTCCTAGGGTGATGTTTCCCCATCACTTCCTAACTGCCTTCTTTCTCATTTCCATCAGTGACAGTACCATCCTGACTAGTTACCAGGAGCAGTCCTTGCATCTTCTTCTCTTAGCCCTCTGTTGATTCTCTCCCCACTGGCTCTGTTCTTCTATGAACCTTGTCTTTCCCATCTCTTCTCCAGGGTTAGAGAATAGGATCCTTCTGTTCCAGGACTGGGTCATTCTCAGTGAGTGTTCTTGGTCAGTCTGGGTGAGCAGATCAGTCCCAGATGGATTCAGTACCAGTTTCTCTTACTTGAACAGGGCTGTTTTGCCCCAAATCAGAGCATTGCCCTTGATACAGATGTGACAAATAATTGCTTCCAGGTCTCCAGTGAATCTGCTCACCCTGTATAAACTTAACAGAAAATTCTTTTCAGAAGTAAAGATTGTGAAGGGAGCCATTTTTAAGATGTGGAGATGATCTAATTTTAAAGGATCCTGTGCTTCTACCTGTCAAGGTAACAGAGGGTGTGGTGACCTGGAAGGGCACCCTGGGATGCTTCTGAACATGTTCATTACTTTACAATAGAAGAGGTTTTAAAAGGTTTTGTGAAAGATCAGTATTAAATGTTTTTTTCTCATTGTTTGGCTTGGTTAGGTTACATAGAATGTGGTATTTCTAATGCTTTTTTTTTTTTTTTTTTGCATTTAATGGGAAAAGAAACTCCATTCTTACAAAGTTTTCTACTTCTCCTTGCTCTGCCACAATAATTCTATAATGGCGTGCACCCTTGACCCTTGGTGTGTGCCAGGCGCTGGGCTAAAATGGTACGTTCACTGTGCACTTAGTCAACACAACAACCTCAGGAGGCAGGTTCTATTCTTATCCCCATTTTGCAGACAAGGTTTAGAGAAATTAAGTAATCTGCTCAGGCCACACACCTAGGAGGTGGTGAGCCGGGATTTATGCTGGATAATGGCCATTTGGGGCAGTCATCTGAAAATTCCTCTGGGTGATTGCAGAATCCATTTGTCAGCCTGGTCTTTAGAAAGGGTTGCAGTAGGGCCAGCACTCTCTCCCACACACCTGGAGACATTTCAGGACGAGAGGGTTAAACTGAATTAGAAGGAATGGGCTTTTAGCCACCACAGGACATGAGGCCATAATCATAAAGTTAATTCACTTTCTTTCCTTCTCTTTTGAAGAGTTTTCCAAGGTGTGTTTTCCTCCCAGGTGTCCTATGGATAATGGGACCCCAGTGAAGCCTTGGTTTGGAGGAGCTGGGTTGTGTAGGAGAGCCTGATGAAGGTGGTCTGGGGATGAGAGTATGTGATGGTCTTCTCTTTTTCCTTTCAGTCTGCCCCAGGCAAAGTCAAAGAGGCTGTGAAGGTGGCCATTGATGCAGGGTACCACAACATCCACTGTGCCTATCTATATGAGAACCAGAATGAGGTGGGGGAAGCCATCCAAGAGAAGATCCAAGAGAAGGCTGTAAAGAGGGAGGACCTCTTCATTGTTAGCAAGGTACATGGGGCTCCTTTGGGAGGAGGGCTGACTTCAAGGCAGGCGGAAGTATTTGGACTTGAGAGCACCCAGAAGTCTGCCAGCCTTCCCTCTAAGTGCTCACTTCATTTCCTCCAGCCCTCTTCCTTGCTGCCTTTATAATGTCCCTGGACACAAACAAATCCACACTCTAGACCAGTATTGGGATGTGGAGACACTACTGCTGCTCCGCCTGTCTCAATGAGGCTTTCCCCTAGTGGGATGGCTCCACTGAGCCATGGCCATGCCCTTGGCCTCCCTGCTCCCCATCAGTGGGATCCATCTGCCCTGTGGCACTCACAGGGTAAGGGTGGAGTCTGGGAATCCCCACATTTCAGGCACTGTGGTCTCAATGGCTGTAGCCCAGAGGTTCTCAACCAGGGGTTATTTTGGAAAACTGCAGGAGCATTTTTTATCGTTACATACGAAGTTCATTTTAGTTCAGTCTAGTAAATGGTGAGTTACAAAATGTTATTAAACAAATTGGAGGGAGTCAATTGAGAGAGGAATGAGAATCACTGGATCTGTATTATAGCCTTGCTAAAATGTACTGGTTACAGGTACCTGGGAAGTGCATGCATCTGATGGGAGAAATAGACCCCACTGTATGCGGTAGTTGAGTCTGGATAGACTCCTTGTCGACTCATCACTTGGGGGCCACAGGCTTGGAGACATAGGAGTACAGAGAGAGGACCGTCTGCTCCCAAAGGCTTAAGAATGCTGGACATTTAAAAGCTGAACACAGTTCCTGCCCCTGAAAGCCTACAACCTAGGAAGGGAATGACACATGTAAACAAATAGGAAATCAGTGCCCAAATATGCTAAACAACATCAGAGATGTATAGAACACCAGGAGAGTTGAAACAATAACTTACCCTCAACATGTAAGAATGTCACTGACTTGCTGAGCACCCAGGTTATCTTCCATACCTGGATCACCTGTCTTAACCAACTTTGCTATAAATGGCCTGCCCCCGGCTTAGATCAAGGTGTCCGTCAAAAAGCAGGAGAAGGAGTGTGACGTGGCGCTTTCTCTCCCCAGTACTGACGTCTCACTGTTGCATCTCTGCAGTTATGGCCCACCTTCTTCGAGAGACCTCTAGTGAAGCAAGCCTGTCAGAAGACCCTCAAGGATCTGAAACTGGACTATCTGGACATCTATCTTATTCACTGGCCACAGGGATTACAGGTTTGAGCTACTCTCTGTCCTAGACTCCAGTTCCCAAGCGGGAGCTGGAGAATAGCAGCTGGGCCAGGCCTGGGGGCTGGGCAGGCTGAAGCAGGAGGCCTTGCGCTTCATGACTTGAGCTGCAGGTTGTGAGGAGGAGACGATGGGGAAGAAAGGTGCTGGTCTGGAAGGGAGGCCGAGTCCACGTGTGGCTGCGGAGCTTGACTGCGGGCCTAGGTTCTCTCTCAGCTGCATCTGAGAGAATCAGGATTTCTGGCAGCCCAGGCAAGCTGCAACTGCCACGTCACCATGGTCCTGATTCCATGCCAAGCGTCCCCCCAGGGGGCTCTTACATAACGATATTTCAGGGCTAACCCTCGTGTGAACCACAGCCCGCCCTGGGAGTGCCATCTTGGAGAAAAGCCCAAGTGTGGTCATGCTGGAAGGTAGCCAGTCCTCATGGAAGAAACAGCACACATTACCTGGGGCTCTGCTCCTGCCTGCTTCTGAGAGGGGAGAAGGACATGAATTCCCAGCTCCCTCACCTCGTGATCAGCTAGGGGGATGATAGCGTGCCATCCCTAAGTGCAGGCTTCTTGAGGCTGCAAGAACAGAAGTTGGCCAGTATCTTCCCCCAGTAAGCCACTCTTTTGGGAGCTAACCCTTGTCTGGTGATTTTGAAATTGAAGTTTGCCCCCAAGTGTGTATGGAGACTGGGTATATGAAGTTAATGCCCATGGTGTTGATGGCAGCTTTTGGAATGTGCTAATTATAGATTTTACAATCAGTCTAGCAGTTTCTCAAATAAAAGAATTTATATAATATAGTAGATTGATTTAGATATTTTATTAAACTCACAATCTTGAAGTTTGTACCCTAGAACCTAAAAAAATGGTATGAAATGTGGGTGTAGAGCCCGAGTTAAGATCCTGAAACCCAGTTAACAGAACCAAATGTTCAGATGCACATCGCACTAAGCTTTTTGTTCTGCATTTACAGCGTGGTGAGAACTTTTACCCCAAAGATGATAAAGGCAAGATCCTTACCAATAAAACAACATTTTTGGATGCCTGGGAGGTAGGTTCCATCTTCCTCTAAGTGTGCTGGAAGTGAGAACTTTCTTCAGTCATCCACAAGGGTCTGCACTGTGTGAAAGTGTCTGTGTACTTGATGCTGTTTCATTGTTATTCTCTAATTCTTTGAACTCCGTCCTAATCTGTTTTTGCTTTTAGGTCCATCTGATACTATTTATATTTTCAAAGGCCAAGACTGAGTCCTCCGATGAGACTGGGAATATAATATACCTCAACTTGGAGGATACACATGCTGTTCTCAAACTAGGGGGAGGGATTTAGAACAGAGATTTCACCCTAGGTTTGTGTGACTTATCTGAGTAACCTAGGGTAAGTTATTTAACTTTAATAACTCAGTTCTGCCTCTTAAAAAAAATCTCACAGTACATATTAATTATATATATATCTTTTATGATGTGTAAATTAAGGATTAAGATAGCCAACATCTATTGAGTGCCAGCAACTTTAGTCATGGAGTTGATTTAATCATTCAACTCTATGAGGCCAGTACTATTGTCAATCCCATTTACTAAGGAGGAAACTGAGACCTAGAGAGGTTGGTGACTTTTTCAGGTCACATAGCAAGTGTGTGGAAGAACTGGGATTGGACCCAGGTCTCTCTGTTTCAAAAATCCAACTACTGACACCCTTAACACAGTGGGTGGCACACAGTGAATATGCAGGTCCAAACATTGGGGCACACGAGTGCCCGCTTCTCAGATCAGATAATGACCTGTTCCACATAATTCATATTCAATATGGAATTAAGGAATGAAAGTCTTTCTCTGATAATTTTTTTCTGAAATCATTGTGTCCTCTTGCACATGCTAGTAGAGAACCAAGTGAATGAACAAGTTGTAAATGAGAGTGAAGAAAACTCCTAGAGTTAATTGTGTTATTTGTCAACTTTCAGGGTGGGGACACATGTTGTTCTGTTTGTTTTGTGTTTTACAGCTTAAAAATGTATTAAAATGAACCTTTCTAAGGAGCATAGAATTGTTATAATTAAATTCAATGTAACTTTTCTGTGGATTGTGTGTTCAAAACTATCTGTAAGCACAGAATTCCTGCTGCTTTGAACTTCAACAACTAGCAGTAAGATAATTCAGATAGCAAAACTGGAAAGGGTAATGAAGCAGAAAAGTAATCATTTTACAACGGCAAGGTTAGCAATCCTGTAAATGTATTAGTAAGGGAAATTATCTTTGGCAAGTAAATCTTTAAATTTGCCTCATAACAGCGGAAGGCTGTTAAAACCAAGTATGGAGAAAACTATCTAGATTTCTATGGCTGGATTTTTAAGTCTGTCATGAAGCTCTCTGGGTTGTATGCAGAAAGGAAAAAAAAAAAAGCAAAAGACTAGCAGGCATGATAAAGAGTCATGACGAGGATCTTCAGTATTTCCACTGGATTTGCTCCATAAGCATATGTCATTTGCAGGTAGGTTCTACAAGTAAGTATTAGGAATCGTAAAACAGCAATGATTTATGGAATTAAAAGTCATACTAAATAATCAATTAGTGGAAATATATTTCATGAGCAAGAGACTATACATACATAGAAGTAAGTCAAATAATCTTGGGAAAATCTTATGAAGGCATCAATTTGTCATACATTCCGCTATTTTGATTACACAATTAAATATGAATCCATGGTACATGTGACAGAGCATCACTGCTGTCCAAGCCATGAGGTGGTTGAGCCCACATACTAGAAAGAGGGTTCAAACTACAAGTTGGAAAATGCTGGGTTTTTGGGGTGTACATGTTCGTTTTTACCTTAACAACCACACAAGTCATTATCCAACCACATGGTCTGAAATACTTGTTTGATAAATTCACTAAAATAAATTTATTAAGCCTGAATCTCAAGAAAAGATATTACTTTCTCTTGGCTAGTGACAAAATTATAGCCATGAAAAGAAACTCGAATTCTGGTACTTAACTGTAAAAAAAGTCAACATATTTATTTTCCTACCACGAACAACCTCCTGTGAGATCAATGTTTCAAGATCGATGATTTAGTGAACAATGTAATGGTTTATGTGCATGGTCTCCACTCAATGAATGCTTTATTCCTGAGAAAGAGAAGTGTGCTAAGGCCTACAGATTGTCTAAAATTACAGCAGACTCAGCCTTTGCATTAAAGGTGATAAGAGGGCTCTGTCATCTATATGACCCTGGTAAAACATGAGTGCTTACCTATCTTAGGAATTATTTGTTGTGAGATGTGGAGACTAGCAGACCTTAATGCTGGTTCCGCAAGATTTTTTTGCCCTAGCTTTTAGGATGAGACCAAATGTGGCAATTATGTCATCGTTCTCTGCAAAAAGTACCCGATTTTCACAGTGCCGTGTCCTTTGAGTGGATTTCAGAATAACTGCTAAAGAAAAGATTTTGAAGGCATGAAAAGGTTTTGATGACCATAATCAGAGAGTCTAAGATGAAACAGACAAGACTGAACACATAAGCAATAAATGTTTACGTGGAGCTGCAACTCTCTCAACAGAAACCTCCTTGACTACCCTGAAGCAGGTGGAGGAAAAAAGTGTAAAAAAGTCAAGATGTGTCATAGACTCAACTGCACCTTATCTATGACACACAAAACTTTTAGATTATCTCATTACCCAACTCAGGAATTTCAGGCACATTGTGATCTCATCAATTCTAAACTCTTTTGCCCAATTTGAGGACCTACATCATTTATTCTAGTGGTCCTCAACTTTGGCTGTGCATTAAAATCACCGGGAGATTTTTAAAAATCTCAATGCCTAGGTACATCCCAGACCAATTCGGTGAGACATTCTGGGGCTGAAACCTGGGCATCAGTATATTTTAAAGCTCTCGGCTGATTCCAAATTGCAGCCAAGTTTGAGAACCACTGATGGAGCGTCCCCTGAACACCTCATGCCTGTCCCTCCCTCGAGCCTTTGCTCGCACGTTCCTCCCTCACCTGGTCTTATTTTTTCTCTCTTTTCTGCAAGTGATTTTTTGAGTCCCAGTTTAAACTCCATTCACAAAGCCTCCCCTGGCAACTGTGGCCCTTCCTTCTCTGACCTCCCAGATTCTCAGTGCTGTGCCTCTGTCCAGTGATCTGAGGCAGCCTCAGTGTTGTGGCTGATTGCTCCCCAGAAGGGAATTCTAGCACTTTCACTGGACTGTAAGATTCTTGGAAGAGGAAGCAAGTTGTATACTTTTAAATCCCGACAATTCCTGGACAGGATCCAGACATGTCATAAATGAATACAAACATATGTAAAATTAGGTGCTGCTATGATACAAATGGTCTCTTTGGGCAAATTTGGAAAAGTGCCCCTTATAGGCTTAAAACTATAAAAAGATATCCTTCCTTGGGGTCAATGCAGCTTCTGCACCAGGAAGCGTGGCTTGGTAGGTGGATGGCGGCCAGATGTTGGACCTACTTAATTCCTTGGACAGGTGCCCCTGCTGAGGTGTAATCTGCACAACCTTCTCCAGTCACCCTGATACTGCAAACCAAGCCATGATTGGTGTGGGAGAGGGTGACCCAGACCCAGACAAGTGATGCTTCTGCACATGGTGCAGCCTCTTCTGGGGTAACTCAGGCCATCTCGGTTTGGGTGAGAGGAGAACGGCAATTGTATAAAACCAGTACATCTTACGCCCAGTTTCAGTGAGGCTGGGGAAGGGCAGGAGGGCTGGAAACAACCGTTGATGGACATCCACAGGCTGGACTGAAATTTCCTTTAAATGCTTCAGCTAATCCTAGTGCAGTGGCTCCTTTGCCAGTTTCTCCTGCCCCAGAGAGGACTAAGCCAAGCCTCTAGAAATGCCCAAAGTGTTCCTTTCTATAACAGGACATGGAGGAGCTGGTGGACGAGGGGCTGGTGAAAGCCATTGGGATCTCCAACTTCAACCACTTCCAGATTGAAAGGCTCTTGAACAAACCGGGATTGAAATACAAACCAGTGACTAACCAGGTAAATTCTGCTTAATCAAAGCGAGGGGCCCTCCCTATTACTTCTTAAACATTTGGAAGTAAGTTCACTGTTAGGTACTGAGTGTTATCTCAGGGCACAGTGACCAGGACACTTTGGGGAGATGCCAGACAGGGAGTCGTGTAGCCAGTCTGGTAGTGGGTAGTGTTTGCCCTTTGCTAGGCAGTCTTTTTTGTGTGCAGAATTCACTACGAGCAGCTCACAAAGCAGGCCAACTCACTGGTGAGGAGCTTGCAGGTTTTGCAGGTTGAGGTTCACCCATACCTCACACAGGAGAAATTGATCCAGTACTGCCACTCCAAAGGCATCACTGTCACGGCGTACGGCCCTCTGGGCTCTCCAGATAGACCTTGGTGAGGCTTCTGAGGGATCTTTCTCTTGATACCCTTAAACAATTGTTTTATCATTTGTTAATGTTGGTATGAGAGTGTAAGCCACCAGGAAGAAAGGTGTATCGGAAGCAACGTGGCTGGCACATACAAACAGTGGGGAAAACTAGAAACTTTAAAACAACAGCAACATGCCGAACCCTCTGAAATACTCGGGTTCAGCCAGCCAGCGCTGGACCAGCATTTGCAAAATGCTGAGGCTTCAGAGCCCATGGGTGGGCTCAGGGGTAAGACACAAAGCTTTCAGATCCTCTTGCCTTGTCTCCCACATGGAGAAGACTAATGATCAGCCTTGGGACCATCATTGGAGTAATGCTCATTTGCATATGGTAACAATGATGATTATTCACACCAGCCATCTTTCTGTCTCCAGGGCCAAGCCAGATGACCCTTCCCTACTGGAGGATCCCAAGATTAAGGAGATTGCTGCAAAGCACAAAAAATCTACAGCCCAGGTACAGTGTATGTGTGTGAGTTTTTTTAAGCCCAGCAAACTAATCTTCTGTTTTGTTCCTTATATTGTGTTTTTATCTCCTTGAGGGGGAAGAAAACAGGAGAGGAAACCCACTAAGGCCCTTCCTTGAAAGTCTGTTGGGACCTCCAGGAAATACCACTGTTATTGCTGAAACCAGGATAGCATCCGTCTAACAGCTTCTGTTGAGCCCTATCACTCAGTGACAAGAGCCTGGCTTTTGGAACTGAGAGATCTGGGTTCAGAGCCCAGCTCACCTCCTATCAGCCTTATCCTGAACTCTGTCCAAGCCACTTTCCTTTTTTATTTTTTTTGCCTATGATTTGCCCTGAGCTAACATCTGTTGCCAATCTCCCTCATTTTTTTTGCTTGAGGAAGATTAGCCCTGAGCTAACATCTGTGCCACATCATGGCTGATAAGCAGTGTAGGTCGGCACCCAGAATCTGAACTCACAAATCCAGGTGGCCGAAGTGGAGTGTGCCAGACTTAACCACCAGGCCACAGGGCCAGCCCCAACTTTCCTTATTTTTAAAAAAGGAAAATCATAGAGTTGTTGTGAGGATTAAGGGAGATAATTGACCATAGGACTAACAAGTAACTGACAGCTGTGAAGAGCTCAGTCATATTAGCTGTTGTAACTGAAGACACAGTGAGTGGCAGAGAGATTTTGTTTTTCCTTTCAGTAGAATAGGGCTCCTTACAGAGAAGTGGAGACATGGTGTCCCTTTCTGTACAGGTTCTGATCCGATTCCATATTCAGAGGAATGTGGCTGTGATCCCCAAGTCTGTGACACCAGCACGCATCGTGGAGAACTTTCAGGTAGGATCCCAGCTGGGTGGCCCTCATTTTCATCAGTGGAGGAAGGGATGGGAGAGACGCTCTCACTAGGCTTCTCATCCCATCTCTGTCGTGTCTGTGGGCCTCATCCCCTTCCCGCCACCCCGTCATATCTCAGGCCAGGGAGCTGACCTCAGCAGAGCTGAGATGAATGACCCAGGGGCCAAGGATGTGGTGAGGGGAGCGGCCAGGGAGTCCTGTCAGATCTGAGCCCAGGTGTGCCTCTCACCACTGAGAAGACCCTTGGTTGCCCCTGAGCAGTTAGGTCATGGGCCATAGGCAGGAGCAGACTGTTCTGGCCTAAACACCCCGCCTCCCAGCAGCAGGGGAGATATGGACCGCACTTGAACTGACCTGGAAGAACCCACATGTGCATTGGGGAGCACAGACAAGGTGCACACCTGCAGTTTAATGTCTATAAGCCTAATCACCTCCCCTTTAGAACACTAAACCCTATAAATGTGGCAGTCTTCGTGTAGGACCTCATTTAGAGCCAAATTCGTATCTGGTGGACACACTGGAAGAAACTCCTATGGCCAGTTAGTGCTGCGGATGTGAGCTTGCTCCTGGCTGAGAATCACAAATCACACCAGAAATTGTCTTACCGATGATGTTTTGCAATTCTTGCCTTTCTAGGTCTTTGACTTTAAATTGAGTGATAAGGAGATGGCGACCATACTCAGCTTCAACAGAAACTGGAGGTTCTTCCACATGGGACAGTAAGTGCCACTGGGCTAAGTTAAGTAGGAGGATCGTCAGTCTTTCTAATCTGGTAGAGGGTGAGCTGGAAGGATTAGAAAGGAGCTGGGACTACTTTTATCTTCAAATACTATTTTCCGGTCGTTTGAAAAATTAAAATTGGAGCAACTGGAATCATTATGGAAAGGAAAGACACATCCCTAATTGCTGCTTATTATCTGAACTTCTGGATATAGAGCTAAAATTTCGAGAGAGGATATGTTGTCCCTAGGCAGAAGGCAGAAGCATCCATTCATCCATTCCCTCAATAAATATGTATTGAGCATCTCCTATGTGCCAGGCACTGTCTCAGTGCTGGAGATATGACACTGGACTAACACTTCACAGGCTAGCATCCTAGGGAGGGAATACAGAAATAGACTCAAAATAAATATGTCAATTAAGAATTAATCCTACAGGGCCCAGCCCAGTGGCCTATTGGTTAAGTTCAGTGCACTCTGCTTTGGCAGCCTGGGGTTTGGTTTCTGGGCGCGGACCTACACCACTTTTCAGTGGCCATGTTGTGGCAGCAACCCACATACAAAATAGAGGAAGACTGGCAACAGATGTGAGCTCAGGGTGAATCTTCCTCAGCAAACAAGAATGAATCCTACAACTAAGAAAGAAAGTAAATTGTAGGAAGGCATTGTCTAACTTCTCTATTTTATTCTCGTCTCTGTTCTATTCTAACTTCTCTATTCTTCTCTATTGGCGGAGTACGGAAATAAACTCAAAATATGTTTGTAAGATAGTAATAAATGCTATTAAAAAAATAAACTCGGGTAAAGGTTGATAGGAAGTTGTGGGTGGTGGTGGGATAGATACTTTAAATAGGGTGGGGCAAGGGAGGCTTTGCTGATAAGGTGACATTCGAGCAGAAACCTGAAGGATGTGAGAGGTCAGCCATGTGGATGTCTGAGAGAAGAGCATTCTTGGCAGTGAGAACAGCAAGTGCAAAGACCCCGAGGTGGAATTGTGTTTAGATCTTTCGAGTAAGGAGGCCAGTGGGGCTGGAGCAGATTGAGTGAGGGGAAGAGTGAGAGGAGACGAGGTCACAGAGCAGGCAGAGAGGTGTTATAAGAATAAATCGAGATCATGCTTGTAAGGCACCAGCACTGTGCTTGGCACCAGGCTTATTATTAGCTGTCATTACACGTTTATTCTGGTGCCCTGCTCACTGCTTGCCTGCCCTCCTCCCAGCACACCCTTTAGATCAGTTTAACGGAAGGTCGAGGTGGGGCCCCTTCCTCGTGTTCTTAGAGAATCTTCTGCGGAAGCTGAGAGAGCACCAAGACCACGGGATACACCAGAGAAGAATGCCTTTGAAACCAGAATCTAATAGTAACATATTCTTCTTTATGCCTGTTTTCTCTTCAGGTTGGCTGATTTGGATGAATATCCCTTCAATGCAGAATACTGAAGCTGAGTCTCCTGAGAAGATGACTCTGCAGATTCTCTCTCTTCGCTTTACTGAAGTGTAACTCTCTCCACTAGAGTCCTATTTTATCCAAGCTTGTCTGAACTCTTACTGAGTCTGGGCCTCCTGTAGGTCAGATTCTAGGCAGTGTTGTATCTAGATCAGTATGTTCAACCAGAATTCACAGGGAGATATGACTCAGAGAAGCAAATTACAGTGTTTTTCACTTAATTGATCTGGTCACGGTGAGAGGCTGGGAGGGGGGATCTCTGCTAACAGTGAGGATATAAAGATAAAAAGATAAAGAAGAATATGTAAGGAACACATATGCCGAGTTTACTATGTGTCACCACAAATTGAAGTGCCTTTCTTATGTGTTAACTCATTGAATCCTGAGACCACCCCTGAGAGGTAAGGACTCTTCTTGCCATTTGACAGAAGAGGACATGCAGGAATGGGGAGGCCAAGGCACTGGCCCAAGACCACCCAGGTTGTAAGAAGCTGAACCAAGCTGTGAAGGCAGGTGGGCTCTGGGAGAGTTCACTGTGATTTGTCCTCTCCCTCCCAAGCCTTCTGGCACTTTCCCTCCTTGCCTTTCTCTACCTTTTCTCTTTCTCACTCTCCCAACTTCCTTTAACATGTCATCATGCCTTGAGTCAACTCTGGTGGTGGCACAGCCTGTGAGACATTTGATGGTGCCACCCTTCACTGAAGGAGGGGTGTGTGGTGTAGCCCTGGGGGTGCAGTGGGGAAGGGAGCCGAGTCTGAATGAGGAGAATGTTTACTATTTCCATTCATCTGGAACATTTCCTTTTTCTGTAATGATTTCTTCTTACGAAATATTCCAATTATATAGAAATGTACAGAGAATAACATAATGAGCATCTGACCACCCTTCTCACAGATTTAACAAATGCTAACATTTTGCCTTATTGGCTTCAAAGCTTTAAAAAAAAATTATTAACAAAATAAATGGTTATCATCATGGTTCAGGACACTCTGTACTCCTTCCCATCCCCCTTCTCCTGACTCCCTCCCCAGAGGTCATGCTCATCCTCCAGTTGGTGAGGGGCTTCCTCCTTCCTCGGCAGGTCTTTTTATCCACTTGCTCCCAGTCCTTACCCTCCCCTGTTCTGCATGGCGGGGGTCTACTAACTACATTTCCCAGCATCCCTAGCCACATGGCTTCTGCCTGGCTTTGGTCAATGAAGGTACTGTTAGGTGATTGGAGGGCAGGAGGAAGGGAGAAGCCAGGTGTGTCTTCTTCTCTCTCTATCTTGAGTGGCATCTCCAGAGAAGTCACATTTCCTCTGTGGTCCCAGCTCTTGCCAGGCAGCCTCCACCTTGATTCTATCTCCCACCAGGTGCTGTGGCTTCTGGGATTAGGAAAGAGCACTTGCTCCTAAATCCTCCATCCCAAGGACCGGTAGCCTTCCTGCTGCTATTAGTGTCTGAGTCGGCTCACCTGCTCTTCTCCTGTTTGATAGCCCAGCTCTTCCATCACCTGTGTAACCAATAATTTGAATTAAATATCCAATGTTCAAAAATCTTGAGTGGTTTCTGTTCTCCTGGCTGGACCCTGACTGATGCACTCCCGATCCACATTTTTATATTTTTAATATTTATTTACACATCCATACATAGTCTCTGGTGTTTTACGTGTGTTTAAAATGTTGTAAAAATTTTTTCCTTCATGTGATTGTGATCATAATTTTCTTGATTAAAAACCTTAGGTGGGGCCGGCCCGGTGGAGCAAGTAATTGGGTGCACGCGCTCCACTGTGGCGGCCTGGGGTTTGCCGGTTCGGGTCCTGGGCATGCACCCAACGCAGTGCTTGGTGGGCCATGCTGTGGTGGCATCCCATATAAAGCAGAGGAGGATGGGCATGGGTGTTGGCCCGAGGCCAGTCTTCCTCAGCAAAAAAAGAGGAGGATTGGTGGGTGTTGGCTTGGGGCCGATCTTCCTCACACACACAAAAAAAGGCTTAGGTAATAGGATAAACAGATTAGGTTGCTATTACTGAATTATATGACATTTTTCATTTCACTTGAATTTAACCAAACAGAGGTAAATAAATAAGCCGATATGGAGAAACACTGCATTTTTTAAAAAGCAACTTTCTAGTTATTCCTGATTTTATTTTCCATGCTTACATCTCAAGTAATGAGAGCTTTGTAGGCCTCAATCTCACAGTTCTAACAAATATAATAAATGCCTCCTAAAATTTGTTAACTATTTTTGGACTGTTGGGAATAAAACCACACCAGTCATCACTAAACCTGTAGCCATCTTAATGGGGAAAGACTCTAAGGTACATACCACAAATATGTGTTAAATTAACTCTTTCCACTCTGTGATTATACATGGAACTTGCCTTATCTTATGGATCAAGAGGAAGGGAAGTGAATCGAGGAGGGGAGGATGGTAAGGCTTGGAGTGGAAAAGGAAGGGAGCTTATCATGGGAAGGAGAGAGCCGGGGAGTAGTTCCTCCTGTCTCAAGTAAGTCTGTCCACTGATTGTCTGAGATTGGGCTGGAAAAGTGGGTACCAGCTAATCTGGAGATCTGGGAATCACACTTGCTGTTCTGCAAGTCCCAGGTTGTCTCAGGAGAGATGGCCTTATTAGTATTTAAGTGAGATCTGGCAAACTACTGCTGGGACCTAGAAGGATTTGGGTCTCTCAGCCTGATCCCATAATGCCCAACTGCCCAGGCCTGCTTTAGTCATTCACTAGCCTTGCAATAACTGCATATTATTTTACAACGTTAAAATTTTGGATCCTACTTATTGCATTATTGTGGGATTTCACTGTACCTTATAGAGTTAAAAGGGATAAAGATTAGAGAGAGGTTCCTGTAGAAAATAATTTTCAGTAAAATTTGAAAGGACCCTCAACAGTAAATATTGTTGGAAATAAGCATTTTTTTGCTTTAATAACAAATATATGCATGACTATAAAAATGCAAATTCTGAATAAAAACAATGCAAAAATAATAGGCAGAAAAGAACCTTGGAAAAAAAATTTGCCGTGAATGTGACAAAAAATGGATTAGTAATTTTTTTTATCATCGAAAGAGCTTATTCAAATCAGGAAGAAAAATCTAAGAAGCCAAAAGAAAAGTTGGTACATTAAAATTTGCCAATAAACAATGTGAAAAGTTGTTCATACTAGGAAACAAAAATACAAATTAAAACCAGCTATTTTCACTATCGAATCAACAAAACTTCAAAGGAAAATCTATCTAGAAAGATACAAATATTAACGATTGTTTTCTATGTTTTAACAAGTGAATTTTAGTTATTTTGTTATTCATTCACATAATTTTCACCTTTTCTACAATAGGACATTCACTTTTACAATCAGAAAAGCGTTAATACGCATTTAAAAAACAACAAAGAAGGATTCAACTCAGTTATTTCACACACCTACGGAAAAGCCAAATCAAAGAAACACTTTTACTTGAAGTTATTTTCATTTCATTGGCCTTTCAACTTTAGAAAACAAATATTCTGAACGCACTAAACAGTGGAATTTGGTTACATTTTATTTTAAATCCAATCCAGTTTGTTGTTCCTCATTTGTTGTCAGTAGGATAAATGCTTCGCTAGCAATTCCAGAGAAGTTTTTCAACTTCCCTTCAATGTTCAACTTTATACTGCTGCCTTTCAGCATTTTTGTTGGTTCAAAAGGGTGAGCTCCTACATATGTTAGGGAAAGTTGGTGGGGACGAAGAAGAAGTCCTTGATCATCATTTAAAAATTCTACAAAAATATACTGCTAAGACCAATGTCAAAGAGCATACTGCCTATATTTTCTCCTAGGAGTTTTATGGTTTCATGTCTTACCTTCAAGTCTTTAATCCATTTTGAGTTAATTTTTGTGTATGGTATAAGATAATAGTCTACTTTCATTCTTTTGCATGTGGCTGTCCAGTTTTCCCAACACCATTTATTAAGAGACTTTCCTTTCTCCATTGTACGTTCTTGGTTCCTTTGCCGAAGATTAGCTTTCCACAGATGTGTGGTTTTATTTCTTCAGGCAAGGGAAACAAAAGAAAAAATAAATAAATGGGACTACATCACACTAAAAAGCTTCTGCAAGGCAAAGGAAACCATCCACAAAATGAAAAGATGACCCACCAACTGGGAGAAAATATTTGCAAGTCATATACCCAATAAGAGGTTAATTTCCAAAATATATAAAGAACTCATACAACTCAACAACAAAAAAACTAACAACCTGATCAAAAAATGGGCAAAGGACATGAATAGACATTTTTCCAAAGAAGAGATACGGATGGCCAACAGGCACGTGAAAAGATGTTCAACATCACTAATTATTAGGGGAATGTAAATCAAAACTACAATGAGATATCACCTCACACTCATCAAAATGGCTATTATTAAAAAGACAAGAAGTAATAAATGTTGGAGAGGCTGTGGAGAAAAGGGAACCCTCAGACACTACCGGTGGGAATGCAAACTGGTGCAGCCACTATGGAAAACAGTATGGAGATTTCTCAAAAAATTAAAAATAGAAATACCATATGATCCAGCTATTCTACTTCTGGGTACTTATCCAAAGAACATGAAAACACTAATTTGAAAAGATATATGCACCCCTATTTCATTGCAGCATTATTCACGATAGCCAAGTAACCCAAGGGCCCATCAACAGATGATTGGATAAAGAAGCTGTGGTATACATATATACATATATATATATATATAATGGAATACTACTCAGCCATAAAAAAGACAAAATTGTGCCATTTGCGACAACACGGATGGACCTTGAGGGTATTATGCTAAGAGAAATAAGTCAGACAGAGAAAGACAAATACCATATGGTTTCACTCAAATGTGGAAGATAAACAAACAAATGAATACATAGATAAGGAGAACAGATTTGTGGTTACCAGAGGGGAGGAGGATGGGGGGAGGGCAAAAAGGGTAAAGGGGCACATTTATCTGTTGACGTATGGAAACCAGACTTTGGGTGG